GCCATAAAAAAGAATGACATCTTGCCATTCACAGCAACATGGATGGAGCTAGAGAGTATTAATGCTAAGCTAAATGAGTCAGTCAGAGAAAGACAAAGTATGATTTCACTCACACGTGGAATTTAAGAGATAAAACAAAAGAGCATAGGGAAAAGAGAGAGAGAAAGACAAACCAAGAAACAGACTCTTAACTACAGGGAACAAGGTGGTAGTTACCAGAATGGAGTTGGGCGGAAGGATGGGGAAAACAGATGAAGGGCATTAAGAGTACACTTATCACGGTGAGCACTGAGTAACGTACAGAAGTGTTGAATCACTGTATTGTACGCCTGAAACTAATATGACACTGTATGTTAACTGGGATTTAAATAAAACTTAAAATTTTTTTCTCTGCGGTTCTTACAATGAGCAGGTATCATTTCAATAAAAATAGTCGACATGGAAAATAAATTATTTGAAAGTGAAGGACGGTACAGTAGCCATTTCTAAATCCACTTACCCTGCAGAAGAGATGCAATGAAGGCAGTTGCCACACTGCTAGAGCACAAGAGTATGGAATGGTCAAGATAGTATTTCCCCTCTGGAATCCAGCCCAGTATAATTGCTGCCACAGCTGCTAGAAAACCAACCACTGTTGCCTGAACCTAAAAAAATTTTTTAGAAAGTCCAACTGAATTATTCATTTCAAAACCAGTTTTTACTTCATTATGTAAATATGCATACCAAAAGTCAGAAGAAAGGATTGCATCTGGTCACTGAGCCGCATTACCTTTTGAAGAAGCCACTCTATTTTGGTTTTAATATTCCCTAAGGCAGTGAGTTCTCGAACTGCCACGATCTGGTGCCAGTGGGTATGGAATGGGGTCCAGGAATCTGTTTTTATGAAGCACCTAAAGTGACTCTGACGGTCTAATCCACAGATCATCTACGAAGATACCAACCTTAAGACTGAAACGGAAACGTGTACCCAATCCACATGACTGAAGTCTGACTTCAAAGGCAGTGCTGGTAAGAGACTGGATTTTATGGTCAAATGATAAGAATCTGACTCTTGGCTCTGTCACCTAATCTTGTGGCAAGTTATTTAAATTCATTCACCCAGCAAGTACTTATTTAGAATCTACCACGTAGGAGGCGCGCTCTCCTGGGTCTTGGGATACACAGTACTCAAAATAGATTTATTCCTTGTTCTCCCCCCAGCTCTTATCTATTTTTTAAAGAGACATTTAAAGAATCTTTGTAAAGATTCTCTTCTCTCTGAAAACACAGTTGTGCTCAATATTTGAGAAGAATTTCTAGGTGCTCACAGACTCTCTGAAGCCAGTCCATGTACTGGAATCCAGAGCCATCTTGGCTCCCATCCTGACCAACAGCTGCAGGGAAGGAGGATGACAAGGGAAGGGTACGAAGAACAGAAGGAAAAATTAAGCTGAGATAGAAGTTATTAGAATGATGCGACGAATAATTTATACTACCACTCTTACTTAGTAAGAGTTCAGAATATTAAAAGACTAAAATGCAATATACTTTCAACTTTAATTTATAGTAGCTTACTTGTTAAATATTTTGATTATTAACCCTGCCTAGGTTCCTACAAGTTCAAGCTAGAAAAGATCACAGACATCTCTAATGCAATACCATGGTTTAAAAGAAGGGGGCCAGGAAGCCCAGAAAAGTTAAGTAAATTAACAAAGTTTATGCATCTGGTTAACGTTAGAGTTCAGATTAAATCACAGATTTTCTTATTTCGAATCCTGTGATCTTAGAAGCAGCTAGACAAATATTTCTTTTAAGCCCACATTCCAAAACTCATTTTATTTCTATGTCTTTGAAATACATTACATGAAATTACTTTTCTGCAACCATGCCTCTCAACGTGATGTCCTAATTGAGCTAACATTAAAATAGTGAGTGTTCCCTAAGCCCACTTGCTGGAGAGTTACTAGAGGCTGCAGTCCTGTGTCTTGGCCATAGTAGGAAGTAGTGGAAGATGAAAAGACATTCACCTGAGATCAGAAGGAGCTGTAAATAATCCATATATAATCCATGATTTAGTGTATATGTAACTGACAATTTAATGTGTTCATTTAGATGAGCTCGAGTAACAATAACAGATTAAGAAAAACTCAGTTTAAATAAATATATAACCATAATACATAAAAGGGTTAAGTTTAATTTAAAAAGATTTACTTTAAAAAAAGTAGAAAAAAAAGTACCTAAGCAATGACGTGCTAAATATTTATTTGTACAGTTATTAACTCAAGTACTCAAATTCTGGCTCTCTTACACACTTATGATTAAAAATTTATATATATATATATATATATTATATTT